GGGAGGGGCTGGGAGGGGTGGGAGGAGCTGGAGGGGCAGGAGGGGCTGGGAAGGTGGCTCCATGGTAGAGTGCTCATGTAGCATGCACAAGGTCCCGGGTTCAATTCCGAAGCCAGAAATGGCGCTGTGGCTCAAATGGTAGAGCGCCAGCCTTAAACAAAAGCAGGTCAGGGTCAGTGCCCAGGCCCTGAGTTCAAGCCCCACCACTGGGGAAAAAACAAAACCAAACACTGCTGCAGCGATGGGGATTCCACATCACAGGTCTGTGTGTGTGTCCATCTGTCCATCCCTTTCTCCCCATGACTTGAACCCGGGCCCTCTTGCTGTAGTCACGTGTCCACTGCTGGGCCCGCCCCGGCCACAGCCTCCTGCCCGGGCCTCACACTGAGAGCTGAGGCTCTCTGCCCGCTGTGCTGACCTGAGCCATGCTTACCACCCACAGGCCTGGAGAAGAATCTTCTAGAAGAATCTCTGTATGAAGAGGTGGCAGATGACGCCCCTGCCTTGGGAGCCGGGCACCCCGGGACACCGGCGGGAGAGGCCCGACCCGCCTCCCTTCCCACGCACCTGCGCAAGCTGCTGGCCTGGTCCATCCCGGGGCCCAACGCCACGCGGCCCTTCCCCGCCACGACCCGGGGGCCCCCGACCCCCCCGCCACGCAGGACATCTGCCGAGCAGGCGCAGTGGCTAAGCCAAGTGGAGTCCTTCATTGCCCGGCAGAGGAGGGGTGACCAGGGGGGGCTCCCCAAAAGCCCCGTGGCTGAGGAAGAGGCAGTGGTGGAGGAAGAGGAGGAGGACGGAGAAGAGGAGGAAGAGGAGGAGGAGGAGGAGGACGGGGGCGGCGGCCCGGAGTACTCGCCCGCCTTCGACCCCGTGGTGAACTGGGAGCGCACGTTCAGCGCCCGCAGCCCTGACTTCCAGGCGCTGCGCACGGACTGGATCGACCTGAGCTGCAACACCTCCGGCAACCTGCAGCTGGCCGAGTCCGAGGCCCTGGGCGTGGCCAGGCTCTTCCTGCGGAAGCTCAGCCACAGGAGCCGAGGGTAAGAGAAAGGGCACCCCAGGGCAGACGCCCTGCTCCACACCCACCAGCCCCGCGTTGCCCCCACCCCCAGGAAGGACACACGGGACAGCCGCAAGGACAGTCAGACCTCAGATAACATGGGTTAGAAGGGGCAGGGTGTGAGGCACAACTACAGCGCGTTGTTGTTCACGTAGTACTACACTCACGCATCCACCCATCTATCCACCCACCCATCCATCCATCATCCATCCATCCACCCATCATCCATCGTCCACCCATCCATCCATCCATCCACCCATCCACTCATCCATGCATGCACACACCTGTCCGATCATCCATCCACCCATTCATCCATCCATCCACCCACCCATCCACTCATCCATCCACCACACCCACTCATCCACCACACCCACCCATCCACAGTCAGCCATCCAACCACTACACCCACCCACCCATCATCCAGCCACCTATGCACCTGTCCGTCCATCCACCCACCCACCCATGCACGCACCCATCCACTCATCCATCCACCTGTCCACCCATCCACAGTCAGCCATCCATCCATCATATCCACCTATCCACTCATCCATCCATGCACTCACCTGTCCGTCCGTCCATCCACCCATTCATGCACTCATCCATCTGTCCATCCATCCACCCATGCACCTGTCCACCCAGCATCCATCTATCCATCCATCCATCCACCCATGCACCTGTCCACGCAGCATCCACTCATCCATCCATCCACCCATGCACCTGTCCACCCAGCATCCACTCATCCATCCATCCACCCATGAATCTGTCCTTCCATCATCCATCAACCCATGCACCGGTCCATCCATCCATCCATCTACCCATCCATCCACCGGTCCACCCATCCACAGTCAGCCATCCACCCATCCATCCACAGTCAGCCAGCCAGCCATCACACCCACCCATCCACTCATCCATCCATCTACCATCCATCCATCCATCATCCGTCATCTATCCACCCATTGATACACCCAATCCACCTGTCCGTCCACCCATCCACAGTCAGCCAGCCAGCCATCGCACCCACCCACCCATCCACCCACGCATTCATCCACCATCCATTCATTCACCCATCCACAATCTACCCTCCCATCCACCCGTCAACAGCTATCTATCCATCACACCCACCCATCCACCCACCCACTCACTCATCCATCCATGCACTCACCTGTCCGTCCATCCACCCATCCACAGTCAGCCACCCATCCACCACACCCACCCATCCAGTCAGCCATCCACAGTCAGCCATCCACCCATCACACCCACCCATCCACCACACCCACCCATCCATCCATGCATCCAGTAGGCCATCCATCCACCACACCCACCCACCCACCAATCCATCCACCCATTCATGCACCCATCCAGCCACCCACCCACCCATCCAGTTAGCCATCCATCCATACATCACACACACCCATCCACACTCATGCATCCATCCACCATCCATCCACCCACGCACCTGTCCATCCATCATCCATCCATCCACACACACACCCACTCATCCATCCATCCATGCAAGCACCTGTCTGTCCATCCATCCACCCATTCATGCACCCATCCATCCACTCATCCATCTATCCATCACACCCACACACCCATCATCTATCCACCCATGTACCTGTCCATCATCCATCCATCCATCCACCCATCCATCATCCATCCACCAATCCATCATCCATCCATTTATCATCCATCCATCCAGTCAGCCATCCATTCACCACACCTACCCATCCACTCCTCCATCCACCCATCCACCTACCCATCATCCATCCATCCACTCATCCGCCCATTCATGCACCCTTACATCCAGCCAGCCATCCACTCTTCCATCCACCATCCATCCACTCATCCATCACACCCACCCATCCATCATCCATCCACTCATGCACCTGTCCATCCATCATCCATCCACCCATTCATGCACTCATCAGTCCATCATTCATCCATCCACCCACGTCTCTCCATCTAGCAACAGGGTTGAGATAAAATTCAAGTACCATTACACACTTTAGAGTGCAATTGAATGGGTGTAAAGGCATATTCCCATTAGCGGGGTGTGTTGTCATCTGCCTGCACTCCTGGCACCCCGGAGATGAGGTATAATCATCCTCCAGCCTGGGCGGTGAGCCGCACCTCCGCGGCTCATCTAGGAGCCCGCTGCCTGACGGGCTGGGGCTGTGTGAACACAGCCTGATTTCTCTTTGCCGCGACCCTCTCGCTCAGCTGGACACTTAGGATGGAATTGTGGGTGCAGGTTAAAGATGGAGGCCGTGCCCTGCCTGGGGTGTCCCTCAGGCCCCGCTCCTCCACCCCAGGCGCTACCAGCTGCAGCGGATCGTGAACGTGGAGAAGCGCCAGGACCAGCTGCGCGGGGGCCGCTACCTCCTGGAGCTGGAGCTGCGGGAGCCGAGCGGGCGCCTAGTGCGGCTGTCAGAGTATGTGTCCACCCGCGGCTGGCAGGGCGGCCGGCCAGCTGGTGGGGAGATGGTGGAGGCCCGGAACCTGCAGGGCCTGGTCTGGAGCCCGCAGGGCCAGCAGGGGCCTGCCCTCAACGCCCAGGACCCGGAGCCCAAGCTGTGCTGGCCCCAGGGCTTCTCCTGGAACCACCACGCTGTGGTCCACGTCATCGTGCCCGGTGAGTCCCGACAGGGGAGAGGCCAGGCCAGCTCCCAGCAGGCTGTCCCCTAAGCAGAGGCCTGACGGCCGCTTGCTCCCCTGGTTCAGTGAAGAACCAGGCGCGCTGGGTGCTGCAGTTCATCCGAGACATGGAGAGCCTGGCCCGGCTCACCCGCGACCCCGACTTCAACATCATCATCACAGACTACAGCAGCGAGGACATGGACGTGGAGCGGGCGCTGACCGCCTCCAGCCTGCGGAGGTGAGCCCCGGCCACGGCTGAAGCCCGCCCTGTTTTGTGTTGCTTCTTGTTGGTCCTGGGGCTCAGACTTGAGCTCTACCACTTGAGCCACAGCGCCACTTCTGGTTTTCTGGTGGTTCATTGGAGATCAGAGTCTCCCGGACTTTCCTGCCTGGGCTGGCTTTGAACTGCGACCCTCAGATCTCAGCCTCCTGAGGAGCTGGGATGACAGGCGGGAGCCACGGGCACCTGGCCCACCGCCACCTCCACCTCCTCCAGAGCTTCTCTCCTCCCTGCAGCTACCAGTACCTGAAGCTAAGTGGGAACTTCGAGCGCTCGGCAGGCCTGCAGGCCGGCATAGATCTGGTGAAGGTAACCAGCCAGGAGGGGAAGAGGGAGAGGGAGAGGGAGAGGGAGAGGGAGAGGGGGCCTCCAACAGCCAGGCCACAGAGCCCTGACTCCCTCCCTCCCTCCCTCCGATCTCCATTTCTCCCCACATCCTCTTCCCCCCCACCCCACCCCATGACCTCACTTCCTCACCCTGCCCTGCCCGCTCGGCCCCCAGGACCCCCACAGCATCGTCTTTCTCTGTGACCTCCACATCCACTTCCCGGCCGGGATCATCGACACCATCCGGAAGCACTGTGTGGAGGGCAAGATGGCGTTCGCGCCCGCACTGCTGCGGCTGAGCTGCGGGGCCTCGCCCCGGGAGGCCGAGGGTGAGTCCTCCCGCCCGCTCCTCCCTCCCCCCTCCCCCATCACAGCCCCCCCCTCCCCTTCATCCCACCTCCTTCAGGTTGCTGCTTAGTTTTCCTCCTCCCGTCCACCTTTTTCACTATCCTCCCATTTGTTCCTCCTCCCCCTCCGCCGTTGTGTGGACACACATCCTCTCCCCCTCCCTCTGTGCACACGTGCGCGCGCGCGCACACACACACACACACACACACACACACACACACGTGTGTCCTGTGCCTCAGGCTACTGGGAGGTGAATGGCTTCGGGCTGCTGGGCATCTACAAATCAGACCTGGACCGGATCGGGGGCATGAACACCGAGGAGTTCCGGGACCGCTGGGG